TGGTCCTCGCCGACGGAAAAATGCACACGTCCGAGCGATGCCAAGACCTCTCTCCCCCCCTCCCTCCCGCCCCCCGCCAGGGAGGAGGAGGAGGAGGAGGAGGACGAGGACGAGGACGAGGAGGAGGAGGAGGAGAAGGACGAGGACGAGGACGAGGACGAGGAGGAGGAGGAGGAGGAGGAGGAGGAGGAGGAGGAGGAGGAGGGGGAAGAGGCGTCCGAGCGATGCCAAGACCTCTGGGGGGGGTCGACGCCGCGCACAAAGATCGCGGCGTCGCGGGGGCCTGGCAAGGCCGCAGAGGCCGGCGACGGGGCCGGCGCCCCGGCCCGTCGCCGACCCCCTCGGCGGCCCCCGTCGGCACCCCCCGGACGCCATTGACTTCCTCGCTGCGTCGACCCCCGGAGATCTCGACCCCGTCCCCGGGACCGATTTTTTTTTCCGTCCAGGGTCCCCGTGTTGACGGGATCCCGAGGGCCGGGGAGGGCCCCCATTACCAGCCTCGAACTGGTCCCTATCCCTAAGATTGACACGCCAAACGGCGATGACAATCTTAGGGATGCGCCCTCAAAAAATGAGGGAATCCCTAAGATTGGCATCGTGATGAGGAGATGCCCAGCATAGGGATAGGGATATGTTCCAGGCTGGTAATAACCCCAGGGGCCGAAGATGGCCGAAAACCTCCCGTTCTGATTTTTGTCACTGCTCGAGGGGGGCCTGGGTCGGCGGCCCCGCGCGGAGAGGCGATGGGGCCGGTCGCCGCGGGGGGGGGCGCGCGGGGAGCGGTCGCCGGCTCGCTCCGTGCGCCCGCGAGGGGCCGCGGCGGGCGACGAGGGGCGAGCTGCGGCCGGGGTCGGAGTCGCCGAGGCCTTGCGCAGGGGGGGAAGAGGGGCGTGTTTTCTTCCACCTCCACCACCATAAGCTGGAGGGGGGGGTCCCTCCTCCTCCTCCTCCTCCTCCTCCTCCTCCTCCTCCTCCTCCTCGTCCTCCTCCTCCTCCTCCGCCTCCTCCTCCTCATGGTGGTGGTGGAAAACAAGCCCATCAGGGGAGGAGGACCACGACGGGTGGTGGGCTGTTCGATATAGCGCGAGCACACATAGCTTGCCTCTCTCTCTCCTCTCTGCATCGACTCACTATGAACACTACTTCCCTCTCTCCCCTGAAGCTTGTTTACAATTGCTCATAGATGAAACCATTGCCTTCTATCCCCTGAGGGTGGCCGGAGAATGGAACGACACCCTCCGCGTGATGATGTCCACCGGCAAAGACATCGTGATCTTCTCGGTCGGTTAGTCTAGCAAAAACGCCTTCGGTCTCCCAACACGGCGTTCCCGCTGCATCGCGGGGCCTCAATTTAGGATCGGCGATTTGCCCCCGTCGTTCAGAATGGCGCTCTCGCACCACCGCGGGCCACAATTCTGGATCCGAATGTTTCCTCGTCGTGGTCGTCCCGCTCTCTTCCCCTCCCCCGCCTTCCCGTGGTCCTCCTCCTCCTCCCACTTATCCCTGTCCAACTCCTGCTGCTGCTGTTCTCCTCGTCCTCTTCCTTCATCCTCCTCCTTCTCCCATTATTCCTGCTCATCTTCGCGCTCATCCGCCGGGTCCTCCTCAAATTCGCGCACCTCCCCTTGCCCATTTGCCCATGACACGATGTTTTTTTTAAGGGGGGGGCCCAAGCCCGCCATGGTCCACGCCGGCGGGCCGATAACAACAGCGCCATGGGAAAAAGGGTGGATGGGAAGGGAAGCGTCGGCGTTAGATGCGGCGCGAGCGCGCCTAGCTCGCCTCTCTCCTCTCCTTCTTTACAACTACTCACTGCGAACGCTCCTCTCCTTTTCTTTCCAAGGTTTCCCCGCCATTACTCCATGTGCAACCGCTGTCCTCCATCCCTTGGGGGTGGCCGGGAAATGGAACGACTCCCTTCGTGGGGCGTTTCGTCGCGGCCGCATCGGCGCACGGTCGCGACAGGCCACAGGGCACCACGCGACAAATCCCGACGTGGATCACCTGCGCGCCCAACGCGTCGCCGCATACAACAACTTGACGATGTCAGGCGCACCCCGAGGAGCGGGCCCGGCCGTCCATCGGAACTGCTGGCCGCGAGCAACCGCAGGAGCTGGCGCGAGGCGGGCGCCCATTCGCCTCGCCCGCGGGGCGGCGCGCGCGGGCGCCCCGCATCAGCACGCGGGGGAAAAACGTGCGCGACGCCAGCGGGACGAGCACGAGTACCATGCCGCCACACATCTGTCGACACACTCGCGCGCAGAACCTGGGACACGACGCGCTTCCCGACCTCGTGAAGCCAGAGGCCGCGACGCGGGTGCCGCGAGCAGAGCGGGACGGCTGTTGAATTCTGGGCGGGGAGCTCGGCGCGGTGGCCCTCGCGGCGCGGTGGCCCTCGCGGCGTGTTTTCCACCACCTCCATCACCATAAGCTGGAGGGGGGGGGTCCTCCTCCTCCTCCTCCTCCTCCTCCTCCTCTTCCTCCTCCTCCGGCGCAGCTCCGATCCGACTCGTCGTCGCCATCGCTCCGACCCCGCGCGGCAGGACGCCGAGCGAGCCCGGCAGCACGCCGAGCGAGCCCGCGGCGGGGGCGCCGAGAGAGCGCGCCGAGGGGCCGTGCGCCCCGCGACGACGGGTTTGTTGGAGGCAGTGCTGCCATAGGAGCGCCGCCGTTGCCTCCGAGCCAGCCCGCGGCCACCAAGGCAGCCAAGCTTGGCTCTGGGCCATCGCGGGGGTGGGGGAAGAGGGGATGAGAGGGGGAAGGGAAGGAGGGGGATGGGGGGAGGGCACATCGGGGGAAGGGATGGGGAGAAGGATGGCAAGGAAACGGGAAGAGCGGGGGGGAGAGAACGAATGGGGGCGGGAGGAGGGAGGGGAAAACGGGAGAAGCCCCCCCTCCTGTTTCGACGGCGTGGAGACCATCCTCACGCCTCGCTCCACCTCGCGGCATGCGCCCCCATACTTGAGTCCTTGTTGTGGCTTGAGCCGAACAGGCTGCGGATTGCAGGCTGCGCGGGCCAGGGTGGAACACGCAAAGGACGGCGCGCGCTGGTGGGCGAGGCGGTGCGCGAACGGGGAGGTGCACACTAGAAACGGCCTGCGGTGCACGGTGGGGGCCGCGGCAAGTGGCAGCCCACTGGTGGTGTGCACTGGGGGTACCGTTCCAGGCGCTTGCGGTGCACGCTGGGGACTGTAATGTGCAAGTCAAGCACAAAAACACCAGCGTGCACCACCATCGCCGCCATCACTTCGGCTTTCGGTGCAGAGACGATTTGGTGGGCGAAGTTGCAGACGCGATGCGGGCACCACCCACCAGGTGCGCCGCAAAGGCGGCCCCCTGTTACGTTCCCGGGGGTGGCCCAGGCAGCAAACGCAGACAAGGGGAAACAATACAAGAACCGCGCAAAGGGGGCACGGGAGCAAAGAGCTGGAACCGGGGGGGGATCGATAGGACAGAATAACGACGGGAAGGAACGCGAGGAGGACAAGAGAGCAGGGGTGGAGCGCAGAGGGGGGAAATGAGGAGGGCGAAGGGGAAGGGAGGGCAACGACAGGTGTCGGCCCCTGGGGCCCTCCCGCTCGAGCAGGACTGAAACGCGCTCACGGCCGAGGCACGTCTTTGTGGGCATGGCCCTCACCCAGATGTCCCGCCTGCAGCCGCCCAGGGCACCAATTCACCGCGCCGAGCGTCCGCTAACAATCTCCCGCGCCGGCAAGGGGGAGAAAGCAGAGGCGAAACGCATACGAGGACGGACGGAGGAGGGAGCGGGGGGCAATGAGGACTAGGTAATGATGCGGAGAAGGACCAAAATCAATAAGAGGGCCAGGGTAGGGGTGGATGAGTGATGATGATGGTTGTTGCGCCCCGAATGCGCACGCGCGTGCGCATGACCTCTGCTCGGCCAAGACCTACGGCCAGCACGACGGAACACGGCGATGCTGTCGACAACAGCCACCGCCGCGAAGCGAGAGAAAGGGCAAACATGCAAAAGCAAGCATCTGCACATGAACGCACAGGACCGATACATCCGAAAGGGAGTCAGGAAAGGCAGAACACTGCACAACACTCACCAGTGAACCTGCCGATGGTTTCGTAGCGATCTCATGTTGGATACGCACAAGACTGGTCTGGCACTCCCGATTGGTCGTTTTAGCAAGAACGCGTTCGGTCTCTCAAAAGCGTGCTGCCGCTGCAGCGAGGGCCTCAGTTCAGGGTCGGCGCTTTGCTCCAGCCGCTCAGGACTGCACCCTCCCCCTTACCGCGAGCCACACCTCTGGTTCCGAGTGTTTCCTCGTCGCGGTCGTCCCGCTCTTGTGCACTGCCCCGTGTTCCCCTGATCCTCCTGCTCCTCCAGTTTCTCCCTCTCCAGCTCCTGCTGTTCGTCCTCGTCCTCTTCCTCCATCATCCCCTCCATTCCGCCTGATGCTTCCTCCTGCTCATTCGCTAAGTCCTCCTTCAATGTGCGCACTTCCCCTGTGCCGATTGCGCATGGCACGATGTTGTTTGTTTTATCCTGGGAACCCAGAGCCGTTATGGCGCGCGTCGGCGGGTCGAGAAAAAAACAGCGTCATGTAATGGGATGGATGGGAGGGGTGGGATGCTAGATGTGGCACGAGCACGCCTAGTTTGCCTCTCTCCTCCGTTTTACAACTACTCAGTATGAACGCTACTCTCCCCTCTCCCCAAAAGCTTCTTCGATACAGGTTACTCAATGTGCAACCCCTGTCCTTTATCCCCTGAGGCTTGGCCTGGGAGTGGGGGCGCTCCCTTCGCGTGATGTTTCCTACAGACAAAAGTGCGATGGTATCTCCGATAGATAACATGACCGTCTTCGGTCTCTTTTTCTCTCTCTCTCTCTCTCTTTCAAAACGGTGCTGCCGCTGCAGCGAGGGAATCAGTTTAGGATCGGCGCTTTCGCCCGTCGTTCAGAATGGCACTCTCGTCCCACCGCGAGCCACGCTTGTGGATCCGAGTCCTTTTTCAGCGTTGTCGTCCCCCTCCTGTCCCCTCCTCCACCTTTCCCTAGTCCTCCCGCTCCTCCCGCCCGTTCCACTCCGGCTCCTGATGCTGCGGTTTCCCCTCGTCCTCCTCCTTCTCCATCCCCCTTATCCGCCTGCTCACGCTCATGCGCCTCCTCCTCCTCGTCCTCGTCTTCGTCCTCGTCCTCGTCCTCGTCCTCGTCCTCGTCCTCCCCCCCTCCTCCTCCTCCTCCTCATCCTCCTCCACCTCCTCCAGTGTACGCAATTCTTCTTTTCCGGATCGCGCGCAGAGACAGTGGGGCCGTCTTGGAAACTCAGGTCTCCGCTGCGACACGCGCCGGCGGATGGGGGGCACATCAGCGCCGTGGGAATGGATGGGTCGGCGGGCGGGGTGGGATGTCAGATGTGGCGCGAACGCGCCTAACCTGCCGCTCTCCTCTTTAACTCGTTCTTCTCTCCTCCTCCAGCTCCGGCTGCTGCGTAGCCTCCTCCTCCTCCTCCTCTTCCTCCTCCTCCTCCTTCTCCTCCCTCCTCCTCCTCCTCCTCGCACGTGGCCGCAGCGCGCCACGTCCGCCCACCTACCTGAAGAGCAGATAGCGGACGGCCGAGGCGATCGCCTTGGCGCCCGATTCACGAATGGCAACCTGCTGCAAAGATCGGCGGGCATGAATGTTATGATAGAGAAGAGTGGCAGCAGCGGGGGCGAGGAGGGGCTCGGAGGACGGGGGGGCCAGGCCGAAGCGAGCGACAGGGCAACCGCAGCGAAGGGGCACGGATGATGGAGCAGAGAATGGCCAGGGAGCGCGGGCAGGACCAATAGTGAGAGAAAGAGTCTCGGCTGGGGTCGACAGCAAAGGGGATACAGCCTAATAGACAAGGGCTGTCGCACTGAAATCGGTGGTCTGTAGTCCACCCGTGAACAAGTAGCTTGAGCACCGCATTACTCTGAGCAGGATGCATTCGGACTAGGACCCGTCGGATCTCTTCCCGCGGCCACGCTCGAACTTCATTCTCGGAAACAGGAGCCCCGGAGGACGCGCGGCCAGCAAACGCGCCGACCAGAGGGTCGGGGAACATATTTTCGAGCATGGCCGGGCGGAAGTGGCGTTGCGTCTTGGGCTTGGGCCGTCTGTGGCCGCTCGGAGGCGGAGGGGGAGGGGCGGGGAGGGGCGTGAGCGCAGCGGCAGCAGCGGAGGTCAACGGGGCGAGCGAGGTGGGGGAGGACGTGACGAGGCCTTGTCCGACGGGCCTGGAGAAACCAGCCTGGGCATTCTCAAGGAATTCGGCGAATGAGGCCTGTTGCCAGAAGGGGGGGGGGGGGGGGGGGGGGCAGGGCAGGGGGCCGCGGGCGAGGAGACAAACGGGCAAGTGGGTTTCGGCGGAGGCGCGGAGGAGGGGAAGGACAGTCCTCCAGCTCAGGAACGTTTCGAGACTGGCTCTGATGAGAGCCGCAGAGCTAGAGATGAGCAAACAATCAAACTTCGGGCCACCCCACTGTTCAAGATTGAGCCAGCCAGACATGGGGAGCGCACAGTGGGCAGTGTGCCACAGACGGGCGAGAAGGGCGGCCTCAGTCCTACCGAAGCCGTCGGGGAGGGGCATGTACTGCGCGACGTAACTCAGGGTCGTCACGCATATGATGTTGTAGTTGCTGGCAGTCACTCGCGTGGGGCCGCTCGCAGCCGCCACTTGTGCAGCGCGCGGTCTGCATTTCGCCATCGGTGCTGTCCAGCTAGCAAGACAAGCCGCCAGCGCGATATGCATGCCAAGATTAACCAGGGAAGGAACCACATCACATTGTCTCCAGTCTGGAATAACCGAATACAGCCAGGTACGATATCTCAAAACAACATCCTCATCAAAGGGTTCGCCGAGAGGAGCGATTTTGCACCTGGCGGCCTTGAGAGTCCGGGCAGAAATCCTCTCGGCGGCCTTGAAGATCCTGTGGGAGACACGGAACACGCGGAGGGTCTTGATGGCCGCGCCAACGTCGTCCGCGCAAGCGAACGCGATCCCCAGGAGCCGATGGTCGAAGCTGCGGTCGAAGTCCTGCATGAACGGGTCCGCCCCGACGGCGAACAGGATGCCTGAGGCGGGGCAGCCCTGGATGATGCCGCTCTGAACCAGGTGCATGAGGTTGGGTGGGCCAGAGCCGCATGCTGCGAAGCAGCGGACGCCAAAGAGGAGCTGCGAGAAGAACCAGCAGAGAGCCTCAGGGAGACCACATCGCGCGAGAACAGAGCATAGCCAATCGTGGGCCACGCTCGGGAAGGCCTGCTGGAAGTCAAAGCTGAGCAGAGATGGCATCAGAGCGGGGGCGTCTTCCTGCATCGATAAGATCCTGGCCATCGCATCCATCTCGACGATGTTATCGCCGAAGTTGCGGGTCGGGATACAGCCTCGCTGGATCTATTTGGTGGCTTGGGGGGGGATCCTCGAGAGCTTCCTAGTCGCGACGGCAGTCGCAGTTTTGTTATCGCAGTTCATGAGCCCGAGCGGGCGGAGATTATTAGGAGCTCTAATGCAGCCCTGGGGGTATCATCGCCCTCGGAGGCCTTCGGGATGAACGCGCCTTGTAGGTTGCACCCGATGGGGGCGGGGTTGCCATTCAGGATCCAGCACAGCATGTCATTCAGGATTTGGGCCGAGAGCGGGGCCCTCTGGAACGCCTTGTACGGGAGGCCGCCTGGACCTGGGGCCGAGTGGGGAAGGCGGGTGAGGTAGGTCTGAAAGTCCTTAACCGAGGGCGGGGCAACATCAGAGACGTCCAAGTGGGGGCAGAACCTCTGGAGGTACACCGACGCGGCGTGCATGTCAGCGTCTTTGGGCAAGAATACATCGCGCCAGTGGGAGGTGACCGCGCTCTGCATATCAGACTGAGAGGATGCGACAACATCATTTTCACCACGGATCCCTGCGAGCGTCGTGCGGCGGTCCATTGGCGCCCACAATTCTGCTCGCCGTGAGAGACGCCGGAGCCTCTTCCTCAGTTTGGCCATGACCTGGCCAGGCGAGTGGAGGGAGGCGGCGGCGCCGATCTCCGCGCGGACGGAGCTCTGCTGGCTCTCCGCGCCTGCATGCTGAAGCTCGCCCAGCAAGAGAGAAAAACGCGCAGGATCCGACAGAGCAGCCCTATCACCTTCACGAACCTCCAAAGGATATTGAGCTAATGGGTAACGAAGAAGACGCGAAGCTAATTCGTGATCTTGACGCCATGCAGCCCGAGGAATGGACCTCATGAGGATCAACTTGGAGGCTATGTTGCGGGCGCCCTTGGAGAGCAACGCGTTTCTGGCGTAGCGGGCGCCTTCTCGAAGCACCTTCTTGTAAATCTCGAGGACCAGAGGGGGGCTGAGCTCGGAGAGGTCCAACTCCTCAACGTATCTCTGGAAGTCAGGGTGCTCGAAAACGCGCCTCGGGATGGGCTGGTCGTCGGGGCCAGGCGGAGGGCGAGCGCGGAGAACAGCTGTGACAGGGGCGTGATCACTGATTTTGCGCTGCTCAAGGGTCTCAGGAAGGCCCCTAACTTCGGCAGCCAAGTGCATGGCGGAGACGATCCAGCCTGGCCACGAGATAGAGATCCTGTCGATGGAGGAGGTGCGACGGCGAGAGCCGTTGTAGTGGGCGTGCTCGCCTGGATCCAATTCGACCAAGCGTGCAAAGAGAAGCTGCCAAGGAGACCGAAGCTGTCGCCTCCACGCCGGCACAGCTGGGCCCTCGGCAGCACCCCCCTCCGAAGGCACTTCGGGCCGCGGAGGTGCCCGAGAGAGGTTAAAGTCGCCAACGACGACGACGAGGTAGTGCTCTGGGTCCGACAGGGCGAAAGCGAGCTCCGACTCGATAGTACGTATGATCCTATGCGTGTCATGTGCGCTGATGTCGTGGTTATGTATGTTGAAGTGCGAGATGCAGTGGTAAGAGTCGGACCCAGACTACGCCCCAGGACCTAATAATAATTTAGTATGGAGCGCTCGACCGCGAACCAGTTCCTTGACAAAGACCGAGGGCCCGTAGCTTGGAAAGGAAGACGGGGGAGGGGAAAGAGCGACGACGCCGCCCTTGTTCGAGACGGGGAGGAAGGAGGAGACCGCAGAGTACTTCGTAGTGGACATGTGCAGAAAATCGTCAAGGTCAAACCTGCTCCCGTGAGCCTCCTGGAGACCGATGATCCTGAGCCCGCGGAACATTCCCAGGACAAAGTTATGTTTCGCTGTCCGCTCTCTGGGGCAATGATGAAATAGAGCTCTCGCATTCCACGTGGCCAGCCCGAGCTCTGGGGAGGATGGGCCCCCCGTCTTCAGGAACCACTCGTTAAAGACGCCACTGGGCAGGCGCGGCAGGAGCGGAGCTCGAGCTGGACGAAATAGCCTCGACAATCCTAGGTTCGACTGTAGCCCGATCGAGGCCCTTCGCGCGGAGGTTGTCTTCCTCCCATTCAACGGTCGGCATCTCATTCGGCTTCGGGGTGATGCGGGGGAGGGGCTTCCACTCGCAGCTGACAATGCCCGTGAACTTGTCGGCGTGGAGCTTGAGGTTGGGGCCGAAGGAGGAGAGGATTTTGCGGGCCTGCTTGGTCGCGAGCTTGCGGCGGACTTGGAACAAGTTCTTGTCCTCGGAAACGTGCAAGTCGACTGGCTGGCCAGTCGGTCCTCGCGCCTGCATGCGGCGGTAGGTGCCGTCGTCGAGGCGCATGCTGGAGAGCGCCTGGCATGCGCGCAGCCCAACCTGGCGCGCCCTTGATGCGGATGGTGAAGCGCTTCGCGGCGGGGTCGCCCTCGACGCGCCAGCCGCCCTCTTCGAAGTTGGAGTCCGCCAGCCACTGAGCAACTGCCTGACCATCTCAGCAGCACGAACGACGAGGATGCATGGGTTGGTGCGCCGCTCGAAGCCACCGCCGCTGGGCGGGGCAGCAGGCGGCTCGTCGTTCGGAACGGCACATAGGGACTTCTTGAGTTCGGCGATCTCCTTCGCAATGGTGTCCATTCTGGAACTGAACGTGTTCTGGCAGGCCTCCATCCCGGCGAGCCTAGGTTCAACCTGTTGGCTGAGACCACCGACGTGTGCCGTGACAGAACGGTTGGGCTTGAGCATGGTGGCCTGCAGGGTCTGCATAGCCGAGAGGATCTCCTGCTTCTGGGCATCAGCGTAGGTTCGAAGATCGCCGTCAGGGAGAGAAACAGGAGTATGATGGTCACCATCACATGATTGCTGCGACGGGAACGTGGGGACGGCCTCGACCTGGCGCTCGAGCTCCTCGACCTCGGAGGCGGCCATGGCTGAGATTCTCGTGGGGCAGTCTGGGCTGCCTTTGCCGCGGCCCTCGGTGCGCGGCAGCTTGTGCTCGGGGGAGCGGGAGCCACGGGCCTCGCCACGCGGGGGCATCTGAGAGAGGGAGGAATGGGCGTGTGTCCGCCAGCCCTTGACGGCTGGATAGCTCGGAAAGAGCTGCCTCGCTCAACCTCGGGCCTGTCCCGAACCTTGAGCCACAATGGCGACGGATCCCCCCCCCTCCTCCTCCTCCTCGTCCTCCTCCTCCTCCTCCTCCTCCTCGTCCTCCTCCTCCTCCTCGTCCTCGTCCTCGTCCTCGTCCTCGTCCCCCTCCTCCTCCTCCTCCTGTTTCCTCACCCTCTTTCAAGACCGCCGTTTTTGCCTGCCGAGAGCGCTGTGCCCTTCCTAGCACCGCCACGTGCCGCCGCCTGGTCCACCAGGTGTGACGACAAATTTGGCCTGAAGGTCATGCGTGCCAAGTTGAAACGGGAGGAGGAGGAGGAGGAGGAGGAGGAGGAGGAGGAGGAGGAAAATGAGGATGATGATGATGATGAGGAGGAGGAGGAGGAGGAGGAGAGGAGGAGGAGGAGGAGGAGGAAAAGGAGGGAGACTCAACTGAGCAAGTGTGACGCAGATCCGAGATGACGTCGGAAACTGGCAGGTGTACAACTGTCACCGGATGGCCCGAATCAGGGGAAGAAGCCGCAACACAGCCATACACTTTGAGAGGTTCGCGAACATTTCTTGTGTCGACGCTGGACCCCTTCCATGGTGCGCGGGGCGCGGCGATGAGGGTCCGGCGCGGACCGAAAAAATCCTCGCGGACCTCGGAAAGTTAATGTTTATGCCGTTGTTTCTCATTCGCTCTCATCCAGGAAGTCCTTGCTGCGCTGAGCTTTGGACAGGGCCAGCCCCCATAAGCAGCCTCTCTGGAAGCCCCTTGGGTGGGGCGCACCCTGGCTGGGTAGTCGAAGCCAATCTGGCGCCAATCTGGCAGGCCCAATCTGGCAAACGGGGGCAATCTGGCGAGGGAGCCAACGCGAATCCAGTCTGGCGAATAACCCAAATCCTCCAATATGGCCAGGCCAGATTGGCCCTTGGGGCCCAATCCAGTCTGACAGTCTTGCCTTCGACTACCCAGGAATCGGAACGTACCTTGGTTCTGGCCGAATCGGCACGGATCTGAGATCGAATCAGGATCCGCCGCGACCGGATACGCGACGGCCACATGCAGGCATCGCGCCGAAACGGATCCTCGGGACATTGAAATCGAATCGGATCGAGGCGGCCCAAACCGAGATGAAATCAGATCGAAGCGGGCCTTGTCGTTGGGGGGCGCGCCCCTGCACGGTTTCCCCCCGGGCCGTAGGCGACTCGAGAAGGAGGAGGAGGGGAAGGAGGAGGAGGAGGTGCAGAAGGAGGAGGGGGAGGAGGAGGGGGAGGAGGAGGGAAGAGGGGAAGGGGGAGGAGGAGGGAGGAGGGAGGAGGGAGGAGGGAGGAGGGAGGAGGGAGGAGGAGGAGGAGGAGGAGGAGGAGGAAGAAGACGTGTCGCCTAAGCCCTTCGGAGAAACCCTCCAGACGCCCCCTGGCTGCCCAGCGAAAAGCGCTCTGGCGAGAGGACGCCCGTCAGTGCCGCAAGACCACCGGCCCTGGCCGGGCAAATCCCGCGCCCAAGCCTGGTACAGTCATCGGCCCATTTTCCGAGATTCAACGCGTGAGGAGCTATACAGAATAAGTACGGCAGGTTCGTGCCGTGTCGACCCTGGTGTTGGTTCCTGACACCGCGGGGATCGTTCAACCTTGAACGATCGGGCGTTTCCGAAACGTCCAAGTCGTTCCACATCGAACGATTCTGGGCCGCCCGCGGCGTTCAACGTTGAACGCCGCTGGCGGGGTCGCCGCCGGTCGACACGACGCGAACCTGCCGTAACGCACAGAGAACGATCAATCACGCATGCGAGCCTGAGGAACGACCGAGCCCCTCTTGAAAAGCAAGCGTTCCTTGTTCGAGCCGCCCTCTGCAGGCTGGATCTGTACTCCAGATTTCGTAATAAAAGGGAGGGGGTCTGGACCCTCCAAGGCAAGCCATTTCAGACCTCCCACGTGGGAGATCCCTCCAAAACATCGTCCCCAGACCCCCCCAGGCCCTCCAAGATAGCCTGGAAGAGACCCCCCCCCGAAATGAGACCCCCCTCCCTTTATTACGAAATTTGGAGTATTCGAGTCGCGAAGCCGGATTGGATCGGATCGCCAGCGAATCGAGCCGAAACCGGATCGCCGCGCTTGCTCCCTTGCTGGCCCGGCCACGGCCGGCGAACCGAATCCCATCGAACAGGATAGTAAGAGGACTTGGCTGGTGTACAGTCGGGGCGTTGACCGAAGGAACCCTAAGTAAGGAACGAGGCCCCTGTCTCCGTTCAGTCAAACTTCGATTTCCCATGGATAACCTCAGGAAAACCCACAATCAAGGAACACCGAGCCCCTTCCCAACGAAAAGGGTTCTTCTTCAGCGCCCCGACTGTATTTGCGCGCTCCACAGAGGGACACCAAGGTTCTGGAATCACTGCAGGTCGTCGTGGTGCCATGGGGAACGCCAAAGGCGGAAACGAATGGTTTGTTCCTGCCACGGCGAGCCTCAGCAACAAACAGCGTCACAGACCAAGATCTAAGGAGAGTCCCTCCTGAACCCGAAAAGGTCCTCACTTCAGCGTCTTCATTGTGGTTCCTTGACCTCTCCTGGGGTACAATCTGACCAAGATTCCGAGGCAACCATGGGGATGAGGACCCCCGGGAGGCCGAAACGGCGAATGCAATGGGAAAAGTACGCCGATGTGCGCGTCTGTGTGTGTGTATGTGTGTGCATGTGAATGTGAGATGTTTGTCCCAACCATCCTGTGGTGTTGCGTCCTCTTTTTGAAGAGACAGCGGCCCGCGTCACCTTCCCTCCGCCTCCTCCTCCTCTTCCTCCTCCTCATCCTCTTTCTCCCCCCCCCCTCTTCCTCTTCTCTTCTCTACCTCTGCTATGCGCACTCCTTTTCCGTCTGCATCACCACCACCATCATCATCAACACCATCATCATTATCATCACCATAATCATAAACTTCACCATAACCATCACAAACACCATCATCATCATCACCATCACCATCACAATCACAAACACCATCACCATCACCATCACCATCATGGTCACTTTCAGCATCGCCACCGCCACCGCCACCGCCACCACCATCACCATCACCATCACCATCATCATCACCACTACTATCATCATCATCAGCAGCAGCATCATCACTAGCACCATCATCAGCATCAACATCTTTATCACCATCACAATCAACATCACCATTAACATCATCATCATCGTCATCGTCGTCGTCATCGTTGTCGTCATCGTCATCGTCATCGTCATCGCCATCGCAATCGCCATCGCCATCATCACCATAATCAACATCACCAATATCATCAGCATTGTCATCATCATCATCATCATCATCACCACCACCCTCACCACCACCATCATCATCAACATCATCATCATCATCACCACTATCACCACCATCATCATCATCATCATCATCATCATTATTATCAGCAACAACATCATCATCGTCATCGTGATCATCACCATCATCATCACCATCATCATCATCATCATCATCGTCATCTTCATCATCATCGTCGTCATAATCATCATCATCATCATAATCATCATCATCATCATCTTCATCATCATCATCACCATTCTCATCATCATCGTCATCGTCATCATCATCGTCCTCGTAACGATCATCGTCATCATCAACACGGAACACCCGTCAAGAGGATCGTGGCCCCACAGGGAGCTCCATCGAGGGCCCCAGTGGCAGGGGTCGCATGGCAGCACCGCGCCCATTTGGGCACACCCCTCGCGAGGATCGCTGCTCCACACTTGCGCAGGACGAAAGGTTTTCCTCTTGAGGTCCAAGTGGCGATGATGAGTTGGAGATCAATGACCGAACCCCCTTCCCCAGCAGAACCTTGACGCGGGTGGGTTCCGGGGTCCGCGGATCCGATTTCCTCTGGTTCCCCGTATTGATGTAATACTGATTTTTTGAACGGGGTAACAATCCGATCCGCCGTAAAAAAAAGAGAGAGAGAGAGAGAGCGAACACGGATCCAGCGAATGCGAAATCGGATCCGCGCGGACGGAAATCGGATCCACCGAAACAAACACCATGCCAAAACCACACTTGGATCCGCGCGAACTTCATAGGATCCCACGGCGGTTATCTCATACGCGTCTGCTCAAGACTTCAAGCCGTCGTTCCAGGCCCAAGATGAAACAAACAAATTTCGTCTTGGGGATGGGCGTTTTGGCATTCGGACTTGTTTGTTACCATATATCTGTCACACCACATATCACAGGCAGTCCGTTGCTGGTTGCCATATAACCGACACACCACATCTCACAGGCAGTCGGTTGGGCCAGGATGTGCAGGGCCGAAGCGCACTGCATTTTGGCCTTCGGACATGTTTGTTACCACATAGCCGACACACCACATCTCACAGGCAGTCCGTTGCTGGTTGCCACATAGCCGACACATAACATCTCACAGGAAACCTGTTTGGGTCAGGGAATGCAGGGCCGAAGCGCACTTACGCAGGACGAGCGATGTTTCTCTTGAGGTGCAAGTGGCGATGATGAATTGGAAATTCATGACCGAACCCCCTTTCCCCGGTAGAATCTTAACACGGGTGGGTCCCGGGGTCCGCGGATCCGATTTCCCCTGGTTCCCCGCTTGATTTTGATACTATAAATTACGAGCGGGGTAGCAATCGGATCCGCCGTAAAAAAAGGCCGAACACGGATCCAGCAAATCCGACATCGGATCCGCGCGGACGGAAATCGACACCAAGCCAAAACCACACTTGGATCCGCGCGAACTTCACGGGATCCGACGGCGGTTTTCTCATACGCGTCTGCTCAAGACTTCAAGCCGTCGTTCGGGACCCAAGAGGAAAACACTTTCGTCCTGGGGATGGACGTTTTGGCCTTCGGACTTGTTTGTTACCACATCGCCGACACACCGCACCTCAGATGAGTCCGATCTTGGTTGCCACATAGCCGACACACCACATCTCACAGGCAGTCCGCTGAGCCAGGAGATGCAGGCAAGGCCGAAGCGCACTGCATTTTGGCCTTCGGACTTGTTTGTTACCACATAGCCGACACACCACATCGCACAGGCAGTCCGTTGTTGGTTGCCACATAGCCGACACATAACATCTCACAGGCAGTCCGCTGGGTCAGGAAATGCAGGGCCGAAGCGCACTTACGCAGGACGAAAGATGTTCCTTTTGAGGCGCAAATGGCGAGGATGAATTGGAAATTAATGACCGAACCCCCTTCCCCCGTAGAATCTCGGGGATCTTCTGACCCGGGTCAGCCCAGACCCGTGTCAGCAGGAAACCAAAAAACTGCAACACTAGAACAAAACAAAAAAAAACTGCAACGCAGGTTTTCGCAAACCCGGATCAGCCAATATGCGCGGCCGCCTCGTGGCCACGAGCGGCTCGCAAACCCGGGTCAGCCAGAGGGGGTCTTCGCAAGAACCTGCAAGATCTGGCGCTCTGGCTGACCCCCGTTTGCATTGACCCCCGTCTCAAGGCTCCCGAGAATCTTAACACGGATGGGTCCCAGGTTCCGCGGATCCGATTTCCTCTGGTTCCCCGTTTGATGATAATATATGTTATTGCTATAAGTTAAAGACGGGGTAGCAATCGAATCCGCCATAAACAATAAAACCGAACACGGATCCAGAAAATCCGAAATCGGATCCGCGCGGACGGAAATCGGATCCACCGAAACAAACACCATGCCAAAACCACACTTGGATCCGCGCGAACTTCATAGGATCCGACGGCGGTTATCTCATACGCGTCTGCTCAAGACTTCAAACCATCGTTCCGGGCCCAGGAGGAAACAACTTTCGTCCTGGGGATGTAGGAGGCTTTACAGAAGGCCCCAGTGGCAGGGGACGCGTTGCAGCACCGCGTATACCCCTCAACAAGATCGTGGCCTAGTCGGGAGCTCCACCGAAGGCCCCAGTGGCAAGGGTCGCATGCGTGACGTTGCTCAGTTTGGCACATCCCTCACGAGGATCGTGGAACCGTAGGAACTCCACCGAAGGCCCCAGTAACAAGGCTCGCACAAAATTCCGGTTCTCATTTCGGCACGAGGATCGTGGCTCCATAGGGAGCTCCACCGAAGGCCCCAGTGGCAAGGGTCGCATGCGTGACGGTGCTCATTTTGGCACATCCCTCACGAAGATGATGAACCCATAGGAACTCCACCGAAGGCCCCAATAAAAAGGTTCGCATGAGCTTCCGCTTCTCACTTCGGCACGAGCATCGTGGCTCCATGGGGAGCGCGCCCGAAGGCCCCACTGGCAAAGGTCGCATGGCACTGCCGCATCCATCCGGGGGCCGTGTCGGAGGAGGAGGAGGAGGAGGAGGGACAAGAGGAGGAGGAGCAGGAAGGGAAGGCAGGAGAAGGAACCTCAAAAAGGCTCCTTGCCGGAAAGAGACCCCGAAAAGGCTCCCTGTCCGGCGGCGGGAGAGGAAACATGGAAAAATTACAGATCCTCTCTGTACTTACGCTCCTTCCCGGTTGAGTCTTCCTGCCGCGGAGCGTCCATTACATCCCAGTGTGTTGGCTCCATAGGAGCATCTGTGAAAAGATGGACCCTTCACGCGGCACCCACAACTGCATACAGCTGGGTCCTTCGCCAGGATAACTCCCGACTCTGAGCGCGGGCCACGAGGGGGTCTACGCAGGTCCACCGACCCCATGGGGAGCTCCACCGAAGGCCCCAATGGCAGGGGTCGCATAGCACTTCCGCATCTTTTCCTGGGCCGTGTCGGAGGAGGCGGAGGAGGAAGAGGAAGAGGACTCGGCCCGGCCAAGGCTGCTGGGTGGTGTACAATCGCCGATCTCTGGTCGGACTCCAGCGTCGCGAGGATCAACAAGCAAGTCGCAAAAAACGGCTGATTAGCTTCAAGCCCAGCTCGTTATGCGAGCATGCCGCGAAAAAGTGCCAACTGAACAGGGCGGCGCCGCTGTAAGTGGTGCGCCTAAACTTGGCGGAGACAAGTCCCCTTCACGGAGAAGTGGAGCTCCACCGAAGGCCCCAATGGCCCAATGGCAGGGGTCGCATGGCACTGCCGCATCCATCCCTGGGCCGTGTCGGAGGAGGCGGAGGAGGAAGAGGAAGAAGACTTGTCCTGGCCAGGGCTGCTGGGTGGTGTGCAGTCGCGATCTCTGGTCGGACTCCTGCGTCGCAAAGATAAACAAGCAAATCGCGAAAACGGCTGATAGGTCTCGAACCCAGCTCGTTACGCGAGCAAGCCGCGAAACTGTGCCAACTAAACAGGGCGGCGCCGCTGTAAGTGATACGCCCAAGCTTGGCGGAGACAAGGTCCCTTCACAGGAACACGCGATGCAACAGTGCGCGGGGTCGGACGAGAAAAGGGTGGAAAAGGGGGGGGGCGCCCCTCCTCCTCCTCCTCCTCCTCCTCCTCCTCCTCTCCCTCCCCCTCCTCCACCTCCACCTCTCCTCCTCCTCCTCCTCCTTTCTTTGCCTCCTCCTCTTCCCCTTCCTCCTCCTCCTCCTCCTCCTCCTCCTCCTCTTCCTCCTCCTCCTCCTCCTCCCTCCTCCTCAAACGTTTCCTCCTCCAACGTCTCCTCTCCTCCTGTCTCCTCCTCCTCCTCTCTCCTCCTCCTCCCTCCCTCCCCCCTCCCCCTCCCCTTCCTCCTCCTCCCCCTACCCCTCCTCCTCCTTTTCCTCCTTTCCTCCTCCTCCTCCTCTCTCTGCCTCCTCCTCCTCTTTCTCCTTCACCCCCTCCCCTTCTCCACCTCCTCCTCTTCCTCCTCCTCCTCCTCCTCCCCTTCCTCCTCTCTCCTCCTCTCCTCCTCCTCCTCCTCCTCCTCCTCCTGCTCCTGTTCCTGCTCCTGTTCCTGCTCCTGTTCCTGCTCCTGCTCCTGCTCCTGCTCCTGCTCCTCCTGCTCCTGCTCCTGCTGCTCCTGCTCCTGCTCCTGCTCCTGCTCCTGCTCCTGCTGCCTCCTCCTCGTCCTCCTCCTCCCCCCCTTCCTCCTCCTCCTCCTCGTCCTCCTCGTCCTCCTCCCCTTCCTCCTCCTCCTCCTCCTCGTCCTCCTCCTCGTCCTCCTCCTCGTCCTCCTCCTCGTCCTCCTCTTCGTCCTCCTCGTCCTCCTCGTCCTCCTCGTCCTCCTCGTCCTCCTTGTCCTCCTCGTCCTCCGCGTCCTCCTCGTCCTCGTCCTCCTCCTCCTCCGTACAGTCCCCTGTGCAGCACCCCGTCGCTTCCGAATTCAGCGGTCTCGAGGAGGAGGACCCTGATTTCAACATTTTCTTAGCCGAGTTTGACGACGAAGAGGACCCTGCGGCCGCCGAAAGCAGTTTTAAGTCTTCGGGGTCCAGGGCCGAAGCGTCCACGATCCGTTCTAGTGCCAGCACCAGCGAGCAGTGTAGTGAGTTGGGCGATCTTTCGAGGGAGCGTCGGGCCCACCCCAGCGATTGCACCGCCCGGAACCCACAGGGCGTCGGAGACAGCCCTGCCAACTCGCCTGCGGATGCTACTGCTGGTGCTCTCTCTCCCCCCTCGTTCTCCATTCCGCACCCAATTTGGCTCAAGCATTGGGAGCAAGTCGGCTGGCGAACACAACCATCTCAGACGTTTGGCCTGCTGTTCGCGAGTCTCTGGCTTTCGCAGCGGCAGGCGATCATGTGCTTCATATAAGTTCTCGATACGCGGCATCAGCGAACATCACAATGTAGCAGCTCCTCGGCGCTCTCGTGCAGCGGGGCCGTCCCAGGAGATCACAGTGGTCCACCAGGCTGAGCACGTACGGGACCAACCTTTACGAGACGCTCATGCTTCTTGATGGGCACGCATGCACACAATGGCCCAACGAGTGGAGCGACATCGGAAGCGTAAGAACGGAGCCGTGCAGATCCAGCAACTGAGCGACAGCGCTCGGAAGTTGGTCGACACGGCACCTGTGGGAGTTCACGAGCTTTTACCTGCTGGCCACGGCCCGTGGGCCGAATGGGTGGGACAGCTCTCTTCTCTGCAGACGCTCACGTTGGAGCAGCTGGGCGCCGTGTGCAAAGTGGTTGATCGAGGAGCTAAGCGTGGACGAGCCCGTGCTACGAGTCAATATCTCCGTGAATTTCAAGAATGGAATGGGACGACTAGAGCTGTGGGCATCATTCATAAAAAGTATTAAGCAGACTCCCGTCGAGGTCGACGAACTTCACTTTGAGGGTCATTGTGCAGCTCGCCCATTAGAGACCGCTGACAGGAAGGCTGAGAAATGGCAGAAGCCTTGGCAGTCGGAGTCCCTGACCGCCGATAAGTTTCTGGAGGCCATGGGCACTGTTCGTAGCCTCGCCGCCATTGAATAGCTTGAACCCCTCACAATGGACGACCTTCGACGGGCGTTGCGGAAAATGAAATCGAAAGCAGGTTTGGGATGCGATCGATTATCGGCAGTTGATCTTGAACGTCTTCCAGACGCAGGGCTGGATCAGTTATGTCAACTGTATCTTCTTATCGAGGAAGGATTGCCATGGCCGTGGCAGTTGATGGTCGCCCTAGGCCGTCTGCTAAGGAAAAAAGCAGGGGGCGATAGGATCATCGGGCTGATTTATATGGTCAATCGATTGTGGAGCCTCGCTCGCGAAGATCAGATGCGCACGCGGGCGGCGCAGTCCGCCCCGCACTGGGGCGCAGCGGTGGCAAGGAACAGTGCGTTGAGGGGGGCGTTTGTGCGAGCGCTCAGCTCAGAAGTCTGTGCTAGGTTGAACGTGGCACAAGGAGAAGCTCTTACAAACTTGGGGTCGTTCTACGACAGCATCGAATATCCGATCTTGGTGGCTGAGACTGCAGTTCGTATGAAGTTTGCTCCCGTCGTTCCCTTTCTTGAGATGCAGACATGTGTAATGCCGAGGGTGTTGTCGCAGTTCAATTCTCATTCCTTGCCCTTTCAGAGCACGCGAGGGGTCATTCAAGACATTCGGAGTGGCACACGCTTCGGTAGATGTCTCGCGTATGTCGTTTTACAACGGCTGTGCATAGCACATCCCAGGATGTCCGAGAGGATCTGGATCGACGACCTGGCTCAGAAGACAGTTGGTTCTCATCGACAAATCGAGGCAGATCTCATTCAGGGCATCACGGACACAGTCATAGAGTTGAAGAAGGTTTCGCCCAATATTGCGGCCAAGAGTGTAGTATGTTGTTCGTCGCATCGAGACGCCAGAGAAGTTGCGCGAGTTCTCAAGCGACACGGCACCCATATCACTGCAGCGTTGCAGTCAGCATATTTGGGTGTAGACATGGGCCATGGAGTTCGTCAGGCGCGCGCCGCAGAGCGCAAGCGTGTGGCCAAAGCAGGACATCAACATCAGAAGCTTCGTCGTCTGTCAGCGGCTGCTCGACGATGCAAGGTCACAGCTCGCATCGAGCGTGCTGGGCCCCAAGCCGTGGCAACATATGGACATCAGATATATGGGAAATTTGGCAGCGAGATGGTGTTGCAACGACGCCGTCTTGGTGCAGCGTCAGGTGCCGTGCGACGAGGGCGTTGCGTCACCACATTCATCAGTCTTCGTGCCGAGCATGCCGACCCAGGACTTGTCCTACCTCGGCAGTGCTTGGCGCAGTGGCTGCAGGTGTGGATCACTGACCCGTCAGCGCGGCCAGGAGTGTATCGAGTTCGGCAACAGGTTGTTCAGCAGCTACGACAGTTACCTGAAGCACATAGGTCCAGACACGTTCGCTGCCCTGTGTCAACCGTGGTGGCGTATTTGTTGCAGGCTGGCTGGAATCCTCACTCCCCTTCGGAGTGGGATCTGCCCAGTGACAGCGGGCAGGAGTTACATGCGTGGAAGTTCGACGATGATGCTCTGTGCTCGCTGGACCAGGCAGATGACTTGCTTCGGGAGTTTGAAGGGCCATTCGCTGTGCGGCATATGGCGCGAGGCCTCGGTCTTGCACTGCGGCAGCGGATTGGCGGACGGCGCGGACTTACTCAGCCTGCGACGTTTCACCGGTAATCTGTATTATGTAGACAAAGGGCGACAGTTAGCAGAACTCATGCTGACCATCGCCGTCGGAGGAGTGTGGACGAATGAGAAGAAGCGGGCCGCCAACGTTCCAGCCGGCGACACCTGTGATCGATGCCTCGAGGCTCCCTATCCACAGGAACTGGTTGTGCAAGTGCAATCGTGGCGGCACAGTGTTCGAGCAGTCTGGTTCCCTCGCTCCCGAAGCGATGGTTGATCATGATGCTCACTCATGTTTTTGGAGTCGAGGAATTATCCCAGCACGCTGGACACAAGTTTCTCCACCCACTTCGATCGAGAGATGGTCAGGAAGCAATCTTGAAGCAGGCCCAGCCTTGCTGGGACACGGCACTGCCGCGAGTCCCCTGTATGTGTTTGGCGATGCGTCAGGAGGACCTGACACTCACGATGTGCGACTTCGGCGGATTGGATTAGCAGTCTGTCTGATTCCATCTTTCACGCCCTTCCAGGTCGACGCTTTCTTGATGGGGCCGCTGCCCCGCCCTCCCCGTCCCCCCCCCTCCTCCTCCTCCTCCTCCTCCTCCTCCTCCTCCTCCTCCTTCCGTAGCCATTTTGGCTCAAGATGATTGCAGGAGAGGGCTTCCGCGCCCTCGTGCCAAAACGGGATAGCTCTGTTCCCCGAGCCAGTCTTCATCCTCTCGCGTCCGAGGGTTCGCCTCGGCGCCAGATCGCACCGGCCAGTGTCGCGCCATGGTGCGGAAGCAGCCTTTCACGTGGTGCAGAGGCTGCGGCAACTGGGCCTACAACTTCCGCCTCATCGCCAACGATGGGAGGTGCGCGAAGTGCAACAGCGTCATCGATTTGTTCCAGCCTGCAGGCGGCGACGGCGGCAAGGGCGGCAAGGGCAAGGCCAAGCCCAAGGCCCCTGGCCCGATCCCGCCTTGGCGCCACCCGTCTGCCCCCGCGGACCCAGCAGCCATGCTCCAGCTGCTCGCTGCGGTCCCCGCCCTGGCAGGCTCGGTCGCCCTGCAAGAGTTGGGGAATAAGTAGTCGGCCAGCCTCGTCAAGCAGCGCACGCCCCAGCAGGAGGCCAATTCCGCTGCCCAGAACCTCCAGAAGAATGAGGCCGCCCTGCGTCGCGCGGCCGATGCGCAGGTCGCCGCCG